GGGCGATGGCGGGGCGATGGCGGGGCGCGCAATGCCAGTCCGCAAGGCAATGGCCGCAGGAGCTGTAAACCGATTGTATCATTTGCGCTTCAACCAGCTGCAATTTATGTGCCCGGAGCTGGTTTGAGGTGTTGGCGCTGAACGACTTTGAAAAGAATCTTGGTCGCCACTTACAAACATAAAACTGTTTTATTAGCGTCTATAAATTAATTCTCGTTTGATTGTCCTTAAGAGCAGAGCTGATGTTCTCCCGAGGAGAACAATAATAATGAAGTCGCTGGTGATCAGGCATTTCGTGTGTTTCTTTTATAGTTGGACTTCAATCATTCAGATCTGAGCAGCAGCAAATTATAATTACGATGGACTCAACAACCCCACGATAACCCATTAAGACCTAAGGATTCTTTTTTTACTTCATCAAGCTAATTATTATTCGTGTGCTACTGTTATATGACACAAACACAGTACGAAGTACGACGCCGCGCGTTTCACTGTACGCGCAATGAGAATGTGTGACCTTCGAACGTTCGAATAATTTGATTTACAACTTTGAACTGTTCATTTTTCAAATGGATATAACTTGTTTAAAAAATTACCATAGTATTTCTCGTTTGAGCACTAAATGTTATTTATCGTGGAATGCTGACGAACATGGTGCCGCGAAGGAAAGCAAGAATGAAACTATTAGGAATTAAATAAATATTCTTGATTAATCCCTGCTCACACTATCTAATTACGATGGAAATTATTACCACTGTACTTTGCAAGAGAAAGAACTATTAATGATGTTAACTGAAAATATGACAACTGATGAATTGAAAGAAAATATTGTGAGTGCAATACACAGTACAATAACTATAAGGAAGCTAATAGAATAAAGGTTAAAAGTATGTCAAATGAGAAGAAAGAAGAATATGATGTTGAGTTCATTCTCTTCGATAAGTGAGAATAATTTTTCTGACATAAATGAAACAAAAAATTAAGAGACGAAAAAATTGAAGGTCTTATAGACACCTTGCCATAATTCTCTTATAGACACACATTCCCAAAGTTTAATGTTGTAACGGATTAAACCCATGAATCGTATATGTGCTGTAATTATACTCCTCAAAAATGCCCAACTGTATTATGTCTTAGTTCGGTCTGGAAGAAGTTTTAATATAATCTTGTACGTAAGTAGTAAAATACAAGGTCATACAGCAATTATTTTCCGAGTAGTTTTTCGTTCTGCCTTCTGCATACTGCAAAATAGATGGAAGTGAATTTTACTTAAGTAGCAGAGGGGTGTTCATGTCTATTAAAATTGCTATTTTTATTTTATTTTATTATGACACCGAGCATTCGTCCAAACGCAATAATTGTAATGAAGCAGTATATTCGGCTTTGTTTCAAACGCTTTACTTTGCTAATCTAGACTTTCAACTATTTCACGCTTACAAAAAACAAATTCTAATATTTTGTTATTTCACATCTTTTGATTCTCGACTGGTTTACTGGTGAATATTAGGCTAAATATTGACGCATGAGATTAACACGCGTTTCAAACATCATAACCATTAGTGTTGGACGGAATAAAATAACCCCAGGTAATCACTGATCAATAGAGTTTATTCTTGCACATGCTAAAGACTTCATGTGGAACCGAAAGTCATGCTCTTCTTACAAGTTAAATACTATTTCAATAATAGGAAAGTATTCATGACTTTTTATGTCTAAAGCACAATCTGTCTGCAAGCAGATATTGTTTTATTGTTTTACAAGAAATTATCTCGATTATAAATTATCATTGATAAAAGTGTGACTACTATATTGAAAACTTGGATACTTGAGAAAAAGTTATTACATTTATGGTTTATTAGCATACAAATTTTAAAAAATTGGTCACAGAAAATTAAATCCTCCGTTGGCATGAATTTGGCATTTTATAGGAGTCCCTCGATTTTCAACCGAATCGAGGGTTCCGGAGACAGACATTCAAGACCACCGCTCGCGCCTCCCGCCCCTCTTCTCGCTCGTCTCCCCTTTTTCTCGACGCCGTGCCTCCTCTTTCTCGTAAGCCATGAAATTGGATAAAGGAAGTGTTTCTTCTCTAACTGCGTTACAGTTGGAGGCCAGACGAAGTTGCTTTTCCTGCTGGTCCCTTTCTTTTTCTCCCCTTGACTCATCTAAGCTAAGAAGGCTTCAGCGGCTTAAACCCGTACAACTGTCAAAAGGTTCACAACCCGAAGTCCACGAACTCCCGGACTATCCGGATGCTCGGGCGAAGGGCCGGATCTGCTCGCGTTATCTAGCGCCACTCCACGGCGCGAGTGCGCCCTCGGAACGGCGCAGGGCGCGGAGGGCGTGGCGAGGGCGTGGTGCGGATGAGAACGCAGAACGACGCGGCGCCAAAGGTTAAGTTCCGAGGGCCGCAACTATTGCCCGATTTAAATATAGGGACCTGTGACAGATCATCAGCTGTGGCGTGGTTATCCAATCGGGAGTTCGATACTTAAACTGCAAGTCGTAACGAAGCTCCCGATCGGATAACCGCGTGCAGTTGATGATCTGTACGAGTCACTATAAGTAAATCGGACAAAAACTAGTCGGCCAGATATTAGCCAGATTATCAGAATCAGCATTACGGCAAGTACAGTCGAACCTTCTTTTGTGGTCCAAATGATCACCCTGTGTACTGTGATATTCGCCTTAGAAACTAATAAAAAAGGATACAAGAATAAAAATACGAAAAATATTTTAATATTAAACTTAGTTTTAAAATTTTAATATTAAACCCGTAAAATACGTTTTATTTTTCGAAGTATTCCAGAAGGATCCGACTGAAAATAATGTCAATTGATTCATCTTTTCGTGATGATTCGAATGAACTACTGATCACATTTGTAGGTACCTAAAACCCCTTCAAAACGCGCTTTAGCTGCGTACCCCCCCCCCCATTTTTCAAGAATTCTCTGAAAGATGCCGAATAAATTAGTGTCTCACCAGGACACCGAGAAGTATCAATGGCACCTCACCGGCCAGCACTGCCCTCCGTGGTGGACCCGAAGATGCCTACCCGTAACCGACAGCGGTCACACAGACACAGGTTACCCAATCTGTACGAGTAGAATGTTCTTGAACTCACATGTTTGGTGAAATGCAATAAAAAGTTCCATGAACATCATTGAAAATGTTATTGTATTCTAATTTACATCTTTCTTCAGACTAAAATGTTTTGGGGCATATAATAAAGCTCTAAAAAGAGCGACGAAATATGCGAAAATGAGTTAAAATTTATATTTATCCCAGAGAAGATTTGCAATAGTTGTAGAAAATGACTGGAGTAGAATTATAATCGATCAATACGGTCTGGTCCGATAACCGAGTACATTTTACATTCCCATTTGTCTATTCCCTTTTAAAGCCTAACTCGTAAGATGCAGCTCATTCTAATTAACCCAATTGCAAGTAAGTATTGTAATATCTTTAAAACTTATTAGAAGCACGTGTCTCAACACCTACGAACTCATTTGCGTTTCCTCTACAGAAGACTGAATAAAACTCAAGCAACTCAGGACACATCGGCAACAAAATGGACGTCTCGAACGAAAACCGTGCGGTAGGCATAAATACGGGGTTTGGCAATTCTCTCAACAGCATCTCTCGGTCGGG